TTATGTATTTTTGATTTGAGTTTTGCGTTTAGTTTTCGCATTTGTCTGCTCTTTTCATGCTTCAACCATTTCCCATTGCTCTGTTAGGTCAAAAGAAGAGTTATACAAAATGTATTGCAGTATCAGTGCATTGCAATCTCTAACAACATATTTCTTTTGCAGAGAAATACAAAATAAACTTTTCTAAAAAGCGATATAAGTCTATAAGTTCGACTAAGGCACAACTTGTGAAGATAAAAGAAAATAAATAAGAAATTGAGTGCAGTCAAGCTTTTATCAGAATTCGTCCCTAAACAGCTGTTTTTAGTGTCCCCTAAAAAAAAATCAAAGTTTCAGTAAACACATAATATTTTTCCGGTTTCTCTTAAAGTTATAAGAATTTTCTTTACTATTAATAGTTGGATTTTGTTGTTGCATTCCTGAATGAACACAGTGAACAATCAATAATATCATACTATCAGATAGCATTAAATTTCGTTTTCAATATATATAAATTCATATCACACTCTCGCACACACACACACACACACATACAACACACACAAGCACAGACACTCTAGCTCGTGTTGCGCGCAGTCAGGCAGATAATATTTACCCTCACGTAACTCATCCAAATAAAGGTAACACCTGAAATAAACATAATCAAATAAGCTGAAATAAGCGGTAAGCAAACAACCCGAGCGCATTTTGTCGTTCGCTGAAAATCAAATTTCAGTTTTCTCTTCCTTTACAAATGTTGTTGGCAGCGGCAGCTAAGGTTGGCCATAAAGGATTTACACGCATGTGAACAGTCGGCTGACTAAAATATGTAAAATGCTATATCAACATGGTTGATGGTGGCAGTACCACCAGGGGATGAGTCCATATCGAGGCCTTTTTTTTTTAAATTTCTTGTCATTTTTGTTTCGAGTCGTTTAGTGGGGCGGTAGAGGGGCGTGGCTGTCACTGCCGCTTGAGCGCCTCGGGCGAGCCCACTTGACAGCTCGCCGCCTGTCCTTGTCGACAGGCAGGCAGCCGCCGTAGGCTGTATGGGTGTGAGGGGCGGAGGACGTGCCTGGCCAGTCTTGTTAAACATTCGTCACTGCCTCAGTCGACACCACTTGCTGATGTGTTTATTATGTGCCCCTAATATATTTATGAGGGCGTTATAAACGCATTTCCATTTTATTTGTGTGTCTGGGCTGCTGTTTCTTGATATTTGCCTTGCCATCTTTTTCCTGTTCTTGTTTGTTGCTGATGTTTTCTTTTTGGCTGCAGCGCTATTATTTATGAGCAAAAAGCACCCAAAGGTATTTTCGGCTCACTCGAAAATTTGATTTCATATTCATGCTGACATCGCATACGAGCTGTCAGTGCCACCTTGCGAAAGGCCCAAACACAAAATTTATCATACGCACTGTGGTCGCCCGTATTTTCCATGAATTTTACTTTACTCCTATGGGAATACACATAATAAATGTATTCATGGTGCATATGCTTAATAAAGTAAAATGAATTGACAAAAAGTAATTACACATTAAGATGTTATAAACTTTAACTTTGTGTTTAAATACGAGATCAAAAGTTTTTATTCGTTAACGAATTGAAGTTTGTGTTATGCATATCTTTAAAGCAACTCTTAAATCATTTGATAGTTTTTTAAATCATGGTTCTTTAACGAGTAATTATTAAATGTTAAACAAAGCGACCCCGATGAAACGCAAGCGTTGTTAACAGCAACTCATCCGCAGGCAGCCAGAGGTGGGCGTTGGACTACGTTCACGCATGGCATTTGAATCACAGTCTGCTTTATGCCCCACGCAGTGGGGAGAGGCTGGAGCTTGGCTTTTACTTAATTGGGACTTAAAACTGCAAATTGCACTATACACAGATTCACACGCACACCAATACACACCCATACGCATGCCTTGAGTTGGCAGGGACTGGCAGCGGAAATGCGAGAAATGAGGCAACAAAGCATGATGCAAACAGCACACACACACACACGTACACACGGACATAAAAACATAAAAATACCTATACTTAAGCGGATAATAGCTGCATTTGTGGCTTGCAAGTAGAACCTGAACCTGGGTATGGATTACTACGAAGATACCTTAAAAAACCCTCACTCAGGCAAGCAAAAGGTATTAAAAATAACATGTTCTTATATACTGTGTGTGTGTGTGTGGGGTTTCGGAAATTGAGGTCTTTTGGCGCACAAATTAGCAGCATTAATCTATGAGACAGGTGGGCGGGGGTTGACTTCATGATAATGGCCAAGCGCAGCGCGACAAACTGCTGTTATTAGTGAAGCTGCCGTTTCCACTGGCATTTTCTCCTTTTAATTGATTTAATCGGCTTTTATACATGTGCCACGCCTCCATACTTGCTGCTGCCCATACATAACCGCCTTGTGTACGCAGAGGCGGGCTGCTCATTAAAACTGCTTGGTATTTTTTTTTGCAGATCCCCCTGCGGCATGGCTCATTTCCGCTCTATTGGTGTATAAACAATTTTAGCGCATTAATTGAATTGCTCTGTTTGCATGTGTGCGTATGTGCGTGGGCGGTTGTGTGTGCGTGTGTGTGTTTGTGTGTGTGTGACATGCATAAGCCAAATTAATTGTAGCCTCGTTTCGCACAGCATCCTAGAAAAAACGTCGTCGAATTTTACGCCCTTTGACTGCTTGGCTTTATTTATTTCTTTCGTTCTTTCTATTTTTTCCCCATTGTTTACATGCAACAAAAGCCATTGGCGCCCTAATGAAGGTTTAATTAGCAAACAAACACTCACACACACACACGCATACACGCACACATGCACACATTATTTTAGAAGCCATTTCCTGTGCCCTTTTCTATTTTTATATGTGCGCTTATGTGCCACTAATTCCAGTTTTAATTAGTTTATTTGGTACGTTTTGTGTGATTGATTGATTGATTAATTCAATTAGCAAAACTCGCTGCACTGGAATGTTCAGGCGACAAGCGCCTACTGTGAACAACTTTGGCGATACAGGAATTAAAAAAGCTTTAAGTTAACAGAGAACAAGTTAAGTCACCGGAATTGTATATAAATCCACATGAAAATTAGTATTAAATTGAGGGTAAGGTACTTGAAAATACCCTGTAAAGCAATCCCCAGTCTTCACTCAGTCCCTGCTCTAACAATGTATTTTATTTTTTATATAAATGATTTTTATTTTTATGGAGGCTGTGACTTGGACGATGTCTAGAGTCGGAGATGTTTCCTTCTATACGTTACAAATATCATGTCAAAATTATAATACCCGCTAAAGGATTATAACGAAAAAGAAGGGCGTTCTTCGGCACGCCGAATACTTAATACCCTTGCAGACCGAACCTTTTCATAATGCTCATAATACTTTGCGTGTATCTAAGAAGCACTGGAAAAATAGTTTATGCCGATTAGGGTCACAATATCTTGACAAAAAATGTTTCATACAAGCAACTCATTTTTGACCGATCGTTCCCATATGATATAGTGATCCGATCCAGCCGTTTCCGACATATGTACTGCGTGTCGCAGAAAGAGAGCGTATGCAAAGTTTTATGACTGAGACTCAAAACTGAGAGACTAGTTCGCATAGAAACAGACAGGTGGACAGACGGACATGGCTTTATCGACTGGGCTATTGATACTGATCAAGAATATATATACTTTATAAGGTCGGAGTTGTTTCTTTTTATGCGTTTCGAGACAAAAATTTTGATACCCTCTGCAAGGGTTTAAAAAGGATATAAAGATTATATTCTCCATTTTTCTTGCGCTCTTTGTCTTTCTTTTCCTAAGGTAAAGGATAAAAAAGGCTGGTCGTAGTCCCTTTCACCTCCACTAAAATAAAGCAAAATTGTTAAGCATATTCTTTAAAGATTATTGTTATCTATTAATTGAATTTTGGTTTGGTGTTTCTACATGGGGTTGCCTAGCAGAATTTATTCTGTTGATGGCAACCCCATGTTCGCATAAGCTGAGCTAAGAACTTAACGTTTGCAGAACCAACCGCATGACCTCAGCCACATCAAAGTTAGAGCCTTAAAGCCCCATAAAACCTGCCTTAAAATTCACAAGACCAGGCACACACATATAAATTGAATATATACACACATATATATATATATATATTTATAGACATGTGTGTGAGTTTTGTGGGTGACTTAACCAACAAAACCACAGCAAATAACTGGGCACATTTTTTTTAAGGCTTTTGGGTCCAAACAGAGCACAAAACAAACCGAGAGGCGAAACATTTTTAAGCCTTTGCCAAGCGGGTTGACAAATAACACACCTGCCACAACACAGATGCCAGGAACAGCTAAATATGAGACGCACCGCAGCTTGACATCTAGTGAGGGGGCGGCGTTGACGGGGTAACGGGGCTGACATGCGGTTAATAATTGCATAGCGAGAAGGGGCCGGATATGGGACACGGGCTGCGAGGCGCTTAAAAACTTATCACTCATGTTCAAAAGTGCCGTGAAAACGCCATGTTTGGGCCATGGGCTACATGCTGGACACAATGGCGCTTAGATGGCCTGCAGCTCCGTGCAGGCTTATTGATGGCATGCTCGGCAATTTCATGGCCTGCTTGTTGTGCTAAATGGCCGCCTTTTAATCTAGCCCCTGGCTGGGCCAGATCGTTGCAGTGCCACCATTGTGTGGATTGCTTTGTCTGAAATGTTTGCAGCCGCTTTGCATATCACAGTTTTTTGGAATATGAAACAGGTGAGCACACACAAACAAACACACACACGTAGGCATATGGGCAACTATGTGAAAACTTTGAGGGGGTGCGTGGGAGGGCGTATCGTATTGAAAGTCAAATTCAATTTTCTCGCAGCTGCCGACGCAGACGCGGTTTTGAATAAATTTTACATACACTAATTTATTAGCATTTCCGTGTGTTTTCTTTTTTTATTTTCATTTATTTTTTTGCGAACTCATTTACCTTTTCAACTTTATAACTTGTTGTTGGTTGTGTTTTTTTGCCTTTGCAGGATCTACAATCGGAAATTGAAACCCATCGCGTTGTTTACGATCGTCTCGATGGCACTGGCCGCAAACTTTTGGGTTCGCTCACCTCACAAGAGGATGCGGTTATGCTGCAGCATCGCTTGGATGAAATGAATCAACGTTGGAATAATTTAAAATCAAAAAGTATTGCAATCAGGTAAGTGCTTTTTGCCCCGAACTTTTTATTTCCCTGTTTCTTGTTGCGGTTCGTCCAAATGTGTTTCCGTGTGCTCGTATCGCCGGATAATGATGATGTTGCCGCTCAAACCGCTTCCGATAGCTGTGTCAATTTTCATTTTATTTTTCACTGGCTATTGAGCGACAACTTGAAAAGACGCCTAAGCAGACAAAGAATGTAGCATTCTTTAAATTATGAATTAAGAAAAATGCATGAATATATTTTATATATTTTTTTTGTTAGTTCAATTTGGGGTACGGTCTTGCAGATATGTGAAAAGAACAGTGAAGCTCCTCATTGCAGAGATATCAGGTAGAGATATCATGTAAAACTGAAAATTGTGGCATACAGTCACTCATTTTTGATTGATTAAAACTATATTATCTAGTTGTCCGATGAAGTTGCGAATCAGTGAAACTAATGTATCCCAGGCTAGGTTAAGTTATCTTGAAAACCAAAACAGATTTTCATTCAGACTTTCTACCTCTGGTTCCTATGGCAGCATTTTTGATATAGCGGTCCGATACAACTAGTTCCAATATATATACTTCATGAAACAGAAAGACGGATCTCAGTAAAGTTTCTTGACGCTAGCTTTAAAAATGAGAAACAAGTTATAGAGACGCAGGCAGAAGGACAAGGTTATATATAGCATATATGTATGTAGGGGTATACTCGGTAGTTGATGCTGACCAAAAATATTTATCTCTCCTTCAATGCATTAGACATTTTATTACAAAATTATAAAACCTTGTTCAAGGAGTAGGAACTTTGAAATACCCTGTATCCAATAAAATCTAATACAATTCATACAATTCGGATAATTCACCTGCTGAGCTTGTGATTCGTTTTGTAGGAAGGGCAGCTATAAATCTATTTGTATATCAAGGCGTCCGAAATAATCTTTTCATCACCTTTTAGCTCTCCTTTATAATGAACAGCCGAGCCAATCTGGACAATCCTGACTATCTAAAAAAATATACTCAAGTGAATTCTGGACTTTAATGAACTAGAAAACGTCTTCTCTATCAGAGTACTTACTCGCTTGCATTTTTCCAATCTTTACAAGGGTTTTGCAACGCCAGCAATTAAGTAGCTTTAAAGAGCCATTCTTTGTCGCGGATACTGGGCGTATGCCTTACAAGCTGATGCGTTAATTAAACCACATTACCCTCAAGTTGTGTGTCACTTGCCACAGCCACAGACAACATGGTTGGTTTAAAGACTTTGTGATGATGAAAATGCGAAAATAACATTACAAACAAGCCAGTCAGGCGGGGCTGGCCAACAACAACAACAGTTTACGCCCGGCCAGGCACAAAGCCAGATGTATGAGAGTATTCACCATCAAACGGCAGGCAGCCAATGAAAATCAATAAAAACGAAACGCGTGAAAAGTGACGGAACCGGCAGAACTGACACGGGCGCAACACTGTGTCACTCCGCACCCGCCGTTCATGTGTCCAATACTGGCCAGGCGCTGACAGCTGCCCAGCCAGCAATATGATGGAAACCAGTGCAAATGGCCAGCGTTGGTCCTTGTCCCGGGCCTGGGCCTGGGCCAGGGTCTGTGCTTGGGCTTGTGCCTGACTATGTCGCTGTGTTTGTCATTTTCACATTTCATAAATAAAGCACGCCAGCGTATACAAATATTGTCCGCTTGTTGATATTGATGCCGGCCGTGGGCTGAAGCTGAAGCTGAATCCGTAGCTGTTGTGGGCCAAAGTCAGGCAGTCGACGATGTTTACGTTTACTCGTTCAGTGAGACGGGGTGCTGGGTGGCTTAAAATGAATAATGATGATGACACGCGAAAAGCGTTGAAAAACAAGCGAACGCAGAATGAATATAAATGGCAATTATGTGCCAGTGTCACTGTGCACAACGGAGCGTATGCGCGCGAAAGTAGGCAACAATATTTTACGTCCTCTTGGAGCGCTTTTCAATTAGGCCCCAACAGCATAACAGCCAACGAATGACACCTTAAGTGTGGCCAAAATGTTCGGCCACACTCAGCAGCCACCCGAACAGGCCCCGCTGTGCATTGTGCCGTTTGGCATTGCTTTTGTTGACCAAACTCTGATGATTATTCTTTGTCAGTTTGAGACGCTTTCTATTTACGTTCATTGTTGGCGTTTTGGCATATTTCCGTTAGCCAAGTTTGGCCACTTCCGATATTGTTATTGTTGTTGTCCTTGTCGTTATCGTTGTCGTTCGCGTTCTCGTTGTTTGGCCCCCAGCAGTTGCTTTGTTGCTTCCCTGGCTCGCCTTCTGTTTGCCTTGGCTCCACTTGTTGTTTGCTTTGCTGCCGAAGATTTGCCAGCTTATAAATTCCAGTGAAATATTTCGGACAGCACTTGAAAAGTTTTCGCTCTTGCCATCGGATTCTTGTTTGTATTAGACGCGTCACTTGGGCGGCGGGCTCTCGCTTTGGGTCATTTGGTGGTGCATAGTTCTTGGCTTTGAACTTTTATCCTTTCTCCTCACCACCACAAACAAAACTTTTCACTGTCGAGTTTCATTTGTGTTCTTTTGTGGCATCTACAGGTGTTTCAGCTACAGTGCCACATCCTTTTTGGCCGGCTCTGTTGATTGCTGTTTGAGTTTGAGTTGCGCGAAGATTGATGAACCCACTTCATATAAAAGAACCTCATGTGGGCGGGTATTCATGTACGGTTGCGATGAGTGTGGTTTCTTGCTCAAATTACATTTGGGACAGACACTTCGGGTGGCATCCAAAAATTTGAGGGTTGCAATTTATATTCCAAGTCCAATGCGCGTTAAAATGATGGATTTCAAAGTATTGCCGTGCTCAATCAATGTATTAAGCACTGACAGATCTGCAAAATTACAATATTTATTTTCTTTTCTTTCAATGCATGGCGACAACAATATAAAATGCCAAAGGATAAATTTGAAAGTAGATGTTGAAATACTCTATCAGAATACATTATATAACACCAGAAAGCTCTATTTTTATAAAAGTGTACTTTAATTTATTTTGAAATTCATTTGGGAAGTGTATCACACTTGTCGGATATCAGTACATTCAATGAACTGAGGAAAATTGTTATAAAACGGGTTTTATTCTGTTCTTTGTTAATAATCCGATTCACGCTTTTCGCAAAATCCACCCACTGGATAAACTGATGACGAAATGACCGCCAAGCTGCCAAAGACATTCTTTAAAATTACTTGACTGCCTTTAATACAAATAAAGTTATTACGAATTGGTCAAACAATTTTCATAAAAGTTAAACGAAACCACAAAACATTCACAATTGAAATGAATTCTTCCAACTTTGCCCAGATCATTTACCGGCTCAATCTATTTGCCGCACTAATTGTGTCTGCAAAAGTCAACGACAGCAGCTGTCAAAAAAATGGCTGAAATCTGACAAGGAATTGCCAAACGTTGAGAAAAAAATGTTTAAGTGGGAATACGTAGAACACCCACCGTAAGCAAAGAGGAAAAACACAAAAGGCAAAGTGGGCACCCCACGAATTTTTGAATACATCTTATTTCCCAAGCATATTTCCGGGGCGAGTTATTCCTTTTATTATTTTCTTGGACGACACACGAAAGTGGGCGTTAAGTGAGCAGCAGCCTGGAAGCATAACCCCTGTACATATGTATGCCTGGGTGCCAGGGTGCGAATCCAATTCCACGGCATGCCTTAATTACACGCGAAGAACAAGAAAAATAATAATAAAGAAAACGAGCCAACGAATTTCGCCAAAGATAAACAGACAAAAGCACAAAGCGATGTCTCTCTGACGATCCCAGACGACTATTGTTATTACGGAGCGCGCGCGGATGCAGATTTTTTTTAGATTTTATGGCTCCGAAAAACAACCAAGAAATGGGGCAAAAAGTATGCCGGCGATATGGCCAACAGGATGCTGCTTTGGCCAAATAAAATGAAAATAAAGCCAGGGCATTTGACAATTACAGCGACAGCTGAATTTTAGCATAGACGACAGCCACTTGGGTCGTCGGCTGCCCTCGGGCGCAGCGTGGGAGGGTTTATTAGACGCACACCCAGCCAGATGGGCGGAAGCAGACAAATTGTCGCTGCCATTTTGTGGGCAGTGCTGGTAATCAACACAGCTGCTTGGCTGCTGTGTTGTAAAGTGCCAAATTAAATTTAATACTATTATAACGCTTATATATATATATATGTGTCTTATTGGTAAACTTTTTGGCATCTACTAACCTCGCCCTTTGCCCTTGCTTGCTTTCAGAAATCGCTTGGAATCTAATTCGGAGCACTGGCATGCGCTGTTGCTGTCCCTCCGCGAGCTAACCGAATGGGTCATTCGCAAGGATACAGAGCTGAGCAGCTTGGGCCTGGGGCCAGTGCGCGGCGATGCGGCCAGTCTACAAAAGCAGTTGGTAAGTTGAACTACGAGAGAACTAGATTACGAAACTATCGGTTATGGCTGCTTACGTTATTCGATAGTTGCCAATACCGATATTTTGATGTGTATTCAAATGCTTGCAATGTGACTGTGTTATTATAAATTATGTTCATATTTGTTATAAAAATGTGTATATAATAAAATTTACCATTATACATTTTATAATGCATATATATGTATGTATATATTTTATAACCAACTAAATGTAATTCTTAGTCATATTCTCTACTCGATACACGTTATATGAAGTATTCCCCAAAGGCTTATAAGCCTTTATTCACTTAGGCACTTAAAGGCACTTGAGCATTACATTTAAAACTAGCTTAGCAACTATACTAACGCATACGAGTTATTCATAAAATTATAATTTAGTTTTAAAGTTACGGTATACACGACTCCGAGTGAGTACCCTTCGGGTCAGCTGGATCCTCAGTAAATACGTGTAGTACTTGTAATAAGCATGCCCTCAATACGAGCACAAAGTTCACTCTACAGCTGGTGCTCATCATGAGGTCGTTGCTGGCTTTTGCCGTTTTTTGTGTGCCGCGAACGACCCAATTTTAACCTTTTGCAAAGCCCCGGCTGCACCTCAATTTGCTCTGCCCAACTAATTGTGTGGAAGGCTTTGCTGCGAACAAGTGCGGCACGCTGGCATTTTTAGTGCCATTCTCTGGCACAATTTGTAATTTTTCGCCTCTCTGTGTGCGTGTGTGTGTGCGAATGTGTGTGTGTGCTGTATGAAGGGTCTCTGTGATTTAATGGCGCATAAAGTGGTTGGCAAGCCCATTTTGTGTGCCGGGCATATTTCGAGCAAATATTTAGACATAATTATATGTCAGGCAAATCGCATTTCACACTGAACGGAATTAATAGAAAATCCGCACTTAACGCCGCATTCAGATATTTAGTTTCAATATCAAGGCCCCCTTCATATGATAATATAATAACATAAGTACCATGCACAGGCAAAATGAGTCAAGCTTAACAAATTGTATGGTCGACATATTTGGCTATTGAATGAATGTCATGGTGCATGGACTGAGAATCAATTGAGGCGAATATGCTTTCATTTAATTACGATTATATATTTGTTTATGCAAAACTATCGCATACAATTCACAATGTGTTTGATATGCTTTCTGTTAAATGTAATTGCCAAATGCAAAATGAATAGAATGTGCCTGCCGGTAATGTTGGCAAAGTAAATAGAATTAGTTTGTTTTTCATTTGACTAATTTTCCATTTATTACCATTGAAAATGTTTGAAATGTATGTAACAGGCAGAAAAAAAGTGTATATATTTTCCTGATAAGCCGAACCGATCTAGCCATGTCCGACATTCTGTCCGTCTGTCCATCCGTCCGTCCGTATGTATGAGAGGCTTAAACGCAGCTGCTCGTAGTTCCCGCGGTAAAGCAATCGATAATAATCAATATTGAAATCCTGTTTTTCGATCAAATCTTTTGGAGAGTCAGCAAAGTTGATACGTGACTTCTAGTATAGTATATATACAGATCAAGTATCTTTCATTTTGTAGCTACCGCCTCTCCACTACCGTCTCCTGTTCAAGGTATCCCCTAGTCGGGCTCTCCCAACTAGAGCATTCTAACTTATTTTTCTAATGAAAATATAAGACTCAAATGTTGTAATTCAGGAATTTTGCGATTGGCCTATCAATGCGATTTCGGTGTAGGCATTACATAATTCAGCAGCTCGTGCGTCAATGTTTTTTATAGCCACATAAGAAATGTGCTTTATACATTGCATTCGCTCTTTCTGGTGAGACCACTTGAGCAGCCATCGATTCTCCTGCTCCGTGCTCAATGTGCTCAAGTATCTAACTGCCCAACTTGACCGAATTGCGTAGTTGAATTGAAAGTCCCACTTGGCTAAACTGCTCTGGCTGCGGATTCTTAAATAATTGTTAAATGATGCTTGTTATGTCAAAAGCATTCACACTCACAATCAGCGTATATACATAAATACATACATATGTACACATATGTATGCCGGAAATCACTTAAGGGCTTGCCGAGCCAGAAAAAAAATCCGGAGAAGTAGAAATGGCAGCAGCCAGAGCTGGCCTGGCTAGTTGAAAATGGGGAAACACTGTCTAACACAGCGTGCGCCACTTGAATTTCACTTACCCCCAGCACACACACACACTCGCACACAATCCCCCGCTGTGAGTTGAGCAAAAAAATGAGGCAACTTTCACCCTTGAAGCCTGGCTGGCAGGCTCTGGAAATCTATTGCCTGCCACTAAGTTACGGTCTGCCGGACATTTACATTTCGGCTTGTGGAGTGTGGGGCCGAGTCTTGAGTTGCGGCTCTGGCAAACTTTAAAAGGAATTCGGCTTGTATTTTGTATTGCCATTCATTTGATTCGCCAGCATTCGCCTGCTACGCCTTTTGGCAGTATTGTTGCAGTTTTTATTTCTACACTAAATGCATCAAGCACGGAATTTATTGTGAGCTCTTCATGCTGCTGAGTTTCTATGATGTTTTATTGGTGGGGCACTTGAAACGCGCGCTAACTGCCCTTTTTTTGTGGGGCTATTTCATTTGGAAAGCTATGGCAGTATAGCAAATAGTTTATGGCTGACCAAGTAGCATTACTCGCATTATTTGTGGCTGCATCAGTTTGGGTTCCGTAAATAAATCTTTTGCAGCATTGACCAATACATATACATATACTATAGTTGTGTAATATTTTATTTTATTTGCCAACCAAAACAGCCATAGCCAACAAATTCTCATTTCTTTTGTGTCCTGTCTTTGCTTGCAGGATGATCATAAAGCTTTTCGCCGCCAGTTGGAGGATAAACGCCCAATTGTTGAGAGCAATTTAACGAGCGGTCGTCAGTATATAGCCAGCGAGGCTCCCGTTTCGGATACCAGCGATACGGAGGGTAAGTTTTACGATATGCCATTAAATTATTATGTATATGGCAGATAGTAAGTGCGCACCCGCACATAAACTTTGACCACAAAAGTGACCATGAATTTTCAACTATTTAAAGCTCATTTGGGTCGTAGTTTAAATTTCGTATAAACTAAAAATACCTATTACAGCCCTGCGACTCCCTTCTCTTAAGCTTTTCCCTTGCAATCAGCTTTGCAAATCTTGGGCAGGCTATTCATGCCGCCAGCAGCAACCAAACAACTCATCAGCATTCAACAATTGCCATTCACTGCATTTTCAATTTGTTTGGCAAATCTCAGAATCAAACATCAACACAGCATGTACAACCGAGAACTCCATTGAGCTCTGCCCTACAAGCTTAACGGCTGGCTTAACCACTAAAGCACACACACACACACACACACACACACACACACACACAGACACACCTAAATACACGCCCAGAAAGTTGTGTGCACGTGAGGCGCCTAAAAGTAGACAACTGCTGTGCGGCTTGTGCGGAATCGCCAATTGATTTTGTTCCATTGCATTTATTTTTTCGTGCCTGTTGTATTTGGGGCTTAGTTCTTTTTAACTACAGCCAGCAATTTAGAAAATGACTATGGGGACCTGGCATGAGTTTAACTTATTTTGGCTTGCAGCATTCGCACAATCGCACAATGGCGACAGTTCGCCAATGGCGCCCACCAGAAGGCGTCAACGATAATTGCAACCAAAGCAATTAGTGCGATTAGTACGCTATTAGTGCCAAACCATCAACAGTTGCGTGTGTGTGTGTGACTATGTGTGTGTGAGTGTGCCATTAAGTTTGGTATTTCTGTGTGGCTATTGAATCTGTGCTTTTAGCCGCCATTTGAATTTAACCATTGATGTTTACTCTGCGGCTATCTGCTGCCTGTGTCTGCATGAGCGACAATAAAATTAATGTTAATTAAATTAAATCTGTTCCACGTTTCACAATTTCCTTCCATTGTGCCTGATTTAATTTTGAAATAATTTTAACTAGAAAACAAGATGCAAATAAATTTTGTACATTTTCTGTAAACTTCTTTCTCTTAAGAAATATGCATTACATTTATAAACATATTTCATATATATCTTATAAATATGTTATTTCTGATTTTTAGTTTACATAACTTCCCAAAGAAGCCGTGTTATAGATTTTTTTCTCAAAAGTTAGTACACTGCTGTTTTAACAGAAAATGGATTCAAGATTCCCTTTTTATATATCTAAAAACCATTTCCGTCAACTAAAAATTTTAGCAAACATTAATTGTACATTCACTTTTGCTTTTAACCTAGTTCTATCTATCAATTTTTGTTTTTATTTGACCACTGAAAAAGTTTATGTAAATTCGAATTTAAATTTCAAGTTGGGTTTGGCATTAAACAAAATTAAATTTCTTTCGGAAAAATGTGCACGTCTGAAAAGAAACTTGCACTAGAATTGAAATCAAGGCGAAATGAAAAGTTTTGCTGATTTTCTTAAATTCCGTTTTCATCTGCATTTCCATTTCCATCATCTCCATCAAACTCTTGTCGACGTCGTCAGTCAGTGAGGCGCGCAAGGCGCAAAGAGCAGAAAACATCTATGCGATAAACTCAATCTTAAATTGAATTTGAATATTACAACAGCCTTGGAGCTGGCGGCTGCTCCTCAAAGTATTTTAGTCCTGATATTTGCTTAGCGCCATATTACCAGATGTCGAGTGTCCGACGAGCAATGCCCCAGGTTTGGGCACATAAAAGTTGTTCGCCAGCTCCGTTCGTGCATTAAATTAAATTTAGATTTAGCCAACGGCTCTGACATTCATCGATGCTCTGCCGCAGAAGCCGCTGTTGTTGTCATACTTCTCACTGTCACTGTAGTGCCTTCAGCTGAAAGGTTTGCTTGTTCCTTGCTTCCAGTTCCAGCTGCCACTTGTCACTCGCTGTGCATGGGCTGCTCATGCATTTCTGCCACATGCACGTCTGTCTGTCCTTCATGTTTCATGACACTTCCATTATGTTTTCTTTTGCTTTCTTATTTTCTTGTTCGATTGCCTGTCGATTTGAAGAAGGATATTGCTTAACTTCCTCCTGGCTGACCGCCTGGGATTATGGGTCTTCTACTGGCATGATGAAATCATCTAATCAATAATTTAAATATATGTTAAGCCACTTGGAGTCTTCATCTTAATTATGTCTGTAAGCTTACTCTTCGCATCTGTTTGCAACGACGCAACGATTAGCTGTTAATTTGATTGAAAGCCAACTCTCTCTCATTTCCAGCCAAGTTAGACTTTGACTTATCCCTTGAGCGTATCTGTTATTTTGATATGCCCAATTCTCGACAATTGTTTGACACTTGTGACTAGCTGAGATTATTTTATTGCAAATTTAATCACTGTGCGCCATCAGCATAATCAAAGTTGCGCCTTCCCCCTTCTCAAGGCTCAGCGTCGTCAGCGTAATCATCGCTGTCTGTAGACATTAAGAACCATAAAATCATCTCTAATTCATAAAGTTGTGTGCGCGGTGCGGCAAGGTACGTGCCAGCAGCAGAAGCGGGCGGGCAGGTAGGGGCATCCTCCCAAATTTGATAGCAGGTGCAATTGTTTTTGACTGCCTTACAGCCTGGCTGCACGTGCCCCTCTGCCGCACTGCCGACCGATTTGTATAATTTTTTCGCACTGTTCGCTCATACATATTTGCCTTTTGGCGTATCCTTGCAGCCGCCCACGATTCCGACTCGCGTTACATGTCTGCCGAGGAGCAGAGCCGTGAGCTGGCACGCAGCATACGACGCGAGGTGGGCAAACTTTCCGAGCAATGGAACAATCTAATCGATAGATCTGACAATTGGAAGCATCGTTTGGATGAATACATGACGGTAAGTCTGCCACAGCACGGCTCGACGCGGCACGGCGCGACACGCCACGCCACGATTATACTTACTTCTTTATTCACATTCTCGCTGTGTTACATTTTCATAATTTTCTTCTGACTTGCGGGTGAATTTTCTTATGAAAATTGAGAATTGACTCCCAGGGAGCGACCGTGACTTTTTGCTTTTGTAATTTGTATGGCTTCCAATTTGTTTTAGCCTGAGCAGTTGGAGGCTCTCAACTTTCTTTTTTCGAGGACCCCATTCACATGTGCGCGTGTGTCTGTGTCCGTGTCCTTGTCTGTGTCTGTCTGTGTGCGAGCGTACTTTTTTTGTGCAATTATATTTGCAAAGTGGAAAGGTGCTCAAACTTTTTGAGCATGCAATTTGTAGAGGAAATCAAATCAGAGCTGTAAGTGTGGGTAGGCCTTTGAATGGAATCATTAGGAGCAGAAATAATTTGTAATTTCCGTGCTTAAAGCAAACTGCAGATAAATATAGGGGAATTGCAGGTGCAAATCATAAAATGATAGTTACAAAGATAAAATAATAATTGTGAAGAAATCACATTGGAAATTTGAACAATATTGCCAAGGACTCTTTAAAAAGAGATATTGTTGCATCATCAGCTTTTATGCTTACATAAATATATATGTTTAATTTTCTCAGCACACACGCTAAATAAATTATTCAATTACAATTCCATGTCTCATGGAAATAACAAAAGAATACCAACAACAACGACAACAACAAAACAAACGAAAAACAACACAGACTTTTGAAAGTGTTGAATGGCTTTGGCTTTAGGTTTGGCTTTCGCATTGCCATTGTACTCCATAGAATTTGGGGTCTTTCTTGGCAGTTTGATTGTGGGTTAGAGTTGGGGCTGCGGTTGTGGGTTCAGCTGATGGCTAATAAATGCAAGTGTGCTTTTTACGACACATATCGTTTGGTTTGCAAAACAACAGCAGCAACAACAAAAACAACGAGAATAACAACAAAATATTTGCCACAAATGTGACGGACGGATGGCAACGGCTGTCGTTACTCATACGCACCGTAAATTTAATGCAACAAAGTTTGGCCGCATAAAAATGTCACAGAGTGTGCAAACAATGGATATACAAGCACAACACACACACCCGCACACACAAATACATTGTATATTTATATATATATATATAACTCGTTCAGTGGGCGCTTGTATAAAATATCCAAGCGCATAAAATGCACATATTGTGTATGATGTATGCTGTATGTATGGTGTAGCATACTTTTCGGCAACTGGGCTAAGCTGAAGCGAAAATCAATAGAGAACAAGGCGCACAATGCCATAAAAAGAAACATTGTGTATGTGCTGGAAATAGAAACAACAAGTGAGCGGCATAGAAAAATATTTGCAGCAAAGTGCGCATAAATATGACACTTGAGTGGTAAAGGCAAGGAACTGAGTTCTGAGTTGGCTTAGGATGTCAAGCGTTAAGGGCTTAACGCGCCCTGCCTAAGGCTTCATTCACTCTGCGCCCATTTCTGGTACTTAGAGTGCAACATTGTGGCATATGCTAATGTGGCCACATATTTAAAGCCAGCCACAATCTATCTAAATCCAAATCTAGATGAAAACAATGTACGGCTCATCCTGTCAGTTTATTATATGCTCGCCAGCCTTGTGGCCTTGCTTTTCGTCTTTTATGTATTCTAGATTAAATTTCTCTCTCTCTCTCTCCTCTCTCATTCTCTCTCGCTCCTTTGATATTTTTGTGTGTACATAGATTTTGCACCGGGGAGCAGTTTACATTTTATTGAGTCTAACTAGACAAATCCAAGTGTATTTGTGTGCATAAACGACCTAATGAGAGCCAGCTCAGTGACCTATTTTTGAGCTTTTAAATTTAAATTGTTTGAAAATAACTTTAACTTAATTGCTGGAATCTTAGAATCGAAAATGTAGTTAGGCTAGGAATTAACTTACTTGGAATTAATTCACTTCACATAAGCTTCTTTAATTGTCTGTTGCTGAATTGAAGCTGTATTAAATATATTTAGCTGGTATATAAACAAATTTCGTTCGTTATTTGAGAATCCTGTTTCAAGTCTTATTGATTGAGTTTTCCTACCTTGTTACCAAATATTCAATATTTCATTAGGTGAAAACAGGATCAAATTCGCAACTAGTTAGAATGCTTTTAGCATCACTTGACAGAAGTTTGTTTTTCTTTTTATTTTTATACCATGCGGTCTTTGGCATTTTTTGCATGCAGGTTGCAGCCGGCGAAAAACTGATAAGGAAAACTTTAATAAAATTAACAACATGCAGGAGAAACAAAAATAAAAAAATGAGCAAAATAGAATTAAAAAACTTTCTCAACAAGCTGGCAAAGTTATCCGAGCCCCGAGCGCGGGAGCTTTCACAGAGAATACGTAAAAAGTTTAAATAAATGCAACTTAAAACAATTACCAGGAAACCAGCACACAAAAATGGAAATTCGAGGAGCGTGGAGCGTGGAGAAGCGCAAATGAAACTTTCTGTGTGTTAAAATAAACGCTTTATGGAGCGGTTGACTCCGTTTAAATGAAGTCACCCAACGGCTGGGCACATAAAATTTCCAGCCTGGCCGATCTGAGACCAACTTTGCCCACAACTAGCTGCCATACTCTGCTGACCAGGAGCAGCACTCTCTAAGCCGCAGCGAGGACTGCGGTTAATTGACCACAAAACTGTCTGTCTGTCTGCCGTCCTTTGTATGCCAACTTGGCTCGCACGGAGAAATTCTATTAATTGAATAAAAGTTTTTAAGAGCCATGGGAGTATTAAATTAAATTGAAAATTGCATTTGCGCTTCACAATTTTTTACTTGCATTTCGCATGTGAAGCATACGCCCGAGACGTCAGCCTCGGCCAAAAAAAAAACCGCTGTCATGGAAAATGAAAATGTGCCACGTCAATGGCACGCAGCGTAGCCCACATTTTGATACCTTTTTCATGTCCATGAAATTAAAGTGATTCAATTCAGCTGAAAAATTAATTGAAAGTGCGCTGAGCAAACACAAAGCCTGAAGCTTTTTGTGGCAGCTTTTCATGTGGCAACAATGCCAGCCTCAAATTGTACATTTTTTTTCCTTCTGCATATGACATTTGTGGCAAGCTGTACGGAAAATATATAATTAAATTTGCATTTTCCAAGATATTACTTATCAAATTTCAATAGCCAACTTTCTACAAAGAGTCAGGAACGACGAAGTTTCCTTCGACTCTGTAGTGTTTGGCTAGTTAATGGCTGCCAAACTTAATCTTTTGTGCCACATTGTCACCAGCAAACCACAAAACTTGCCATGCACGTGCCGCATCTTCAATCAACGTGCTGCGGAATGCAATTACGCCTGCATGCCTGCCCATCAAATGCGGCTCCAATTAGAGCCTAACTGACCCCACTATTCATCAGACCGTTTCCGGCGCACAAATGATGCATGACCGAGTCAATGTCACGACAATATGCACTGAGCTCCCCTTAAAAACCACTGGCCATGGTCTAAATGAATGCCCATACTAATGAAGAATGCACAACGAGGTCTGCGCCGCAATTTGTCAAACTTGGCTGGCCGATGTTGGCATTAGACTGGAGATGATCATAGCATAACTTTGTCCGGCGTATTGCGAAAAATAGTAGCTCACTTTATAGAGCTAACTGGTTAGCAGCAGGGGCAATTACGGGAGAAACTCTATGAACTGAGGGAATTGTCCTGAAAATCGAATGTGGCCATTTAAGCCACATAAATACGACGACGAAAATCGACATTTGGTCAGTTGGTGTGGAGGAGCCACAGGGCGGGCTACTAAAAACCAATTGCTTTGCTCTGTGAAATATGCTTCATGGATTTCCTGTTAAACTGGAAAAATTGTAAAATAAATGTGGCAAAAACGCATAGAAATTGCAGCTAACAGGAACCCTTGGAGCGCTGACACTGCGCAACACTTCTGCTTGCCATAATTTAACCACATGTGGTCGATATTGACGCTGGACACACACACACGCACACACACACACACACAAGCATCCAGCTCATTTAACCCCTTATGACCGCTGGTCTTGGGCACTGTAACAGCTGCTGTTGTTGCTGCTGTCGCTGCCTGACCATGTTTGGCTTCGTCCTTAATGTTGTCCTTGAGTCTACCCTGTTCCTCTGGCTATTGTTGTTGCCGCTTCCTTGTGGAGAGCTTGGGCGTGTAAAATATGTGGTCGCCAATAGAGCAGTTGCCGTTGCAGCGAAGCGCCTGGCGCTGCGTTTAGTTTAGTTTAGTTCAGTTTATTATGCAGCCGAGACACAATGAAATCAATTTTCGTTTTTCGAAAATCGTTCAATAAATCACTCATACGCAGTGTGAACTATGTTTGTCCAGCTTGCTTGCCTAAGAGTCTGTGATTTATAGCAGCCTCATAATTTAAAATTGATTTTTTAAGTCTTTGCTAGGTGAATAAATTGTTATAATAAATGAAATCATTTTGCATGTACGTCACATAATTTTATGGCAAGGGGTCAATTTTAAGGCAGCCCAAAAGTATGCAGCACATTTATTCATATTCCGTACTAATTCATAGAGTCGAGACACAAACCGTACAAAATATACGAAAACTAAAAGTTGTGCGAAATACTATTTAAAATAATGATGAACGTTATAAAATATGTCACTCGATTGTCGAAAACGCCAATTAAAACAACAACAATTAAAAATCGAGCAGCAGCAGCTGGATATATATCATTTGGCTACAAAAACAATCGACAATGTTTGCAATGCTTTTTAATTTTATCCCATTCATCTTCTCCTTCCTGTTGCCATGTTTGTCCTTTAAATTAGCCAAACGCAAACAGCAAGCTGCAAATGATTTATTGATCACAAATTGCAGCAAACCTGTCAAAAAGCCAAATAAGATTGCAATGCCAAAAGCAACAGAAAAACTTGAAAATGCTCGCAAAAATAAAAACATACAGATATATATATATATAGC